AAGATGGGACATTCAATAAACAATGAAATAGGATTTGGGTCAAAGATCCATCCTGGAGTCCAAAAACAGAACTGAAACAGAGCACAAGTGTCAACATGACATGTTAAATTATGTAAGACTGCACAACGGGAACCAAACCACAGCAAACTATACACAGTAGTGCAGACCACAGTTCCCAATAATATTTATTTACAATAATTTATCCAATATGTGTCTGTTATGTCTTAAGTTAATAAAGCAATGTTTAGCTTAAGCATAAGTTCTAGTAAAACAAGCGGTGTTTGGATTAAAGAACTGGCCAATCAGAGAAGCCTATGTTTTCGGCGGGAACCACTCTCATAGGTTCCAAGCCCTGTGTTTCTATTGGTTGTTATCTGTTTGTTGGGTGTGGTTTACCCCTGTTCAAATCATATATAAGTCAGTCTGGTTCTATGCTGTTCTGTCTTGTGCTGCTATGAGCTGAATAAACATGAATCGCTTGTTTAAGAGCTGCCTCGATATCCATAATAGTGTCCATCACGCAAAACAGAGTAGACATGCTTTCCCGACTCACATGCGAATTTGTACAGATCTATAAGAGAACAGATGACTGGCCTGAAGTCACCCGATGAATTTCATGACTAAACGGGATTCGAATCTGAGTCTCCCTGTCCATCCCCTGCCTCTTTTGCCAAAATATAAAGTGAAAGCAGGCATCTCCCATTTCTAGCTCAAAATACAATAAGAAGTGTCACATGCAGCACTGATAGATAAGAACTTTTGTTCCTTACATAAAAGTGTTTTATTTTTTGCTCAGGCGATCGGAGCCAATGAGTCACCCAATGTTCTTGGTTTGGATACGATCACTTTTGCATGGGCAGGTATCATTATTCTCCCCCCCTCCCCAAATTGCACACATGGGGGGTGATTGGCACATGGGCTGCCTCCTCACAAGCCAAATGGCACTTAAAAAAAATAACAGAGGGCAGGTCCTTCTGTGACCAGGGAACTTGGTTTGCAAGTCCATTAAAGCACTTCTCGGTGCATGTTGGAGGAAGAAAAATAGGGCCAGCGGATAGTTTAATGATGGATTTCATGATGTAAACATCCGTCACTAACGGCAATGAAACTTCCAACGTGCCTTCCGCACAGAGCATTAAAGAGCTATTAAATTCACCATTAGTAGCACCGCAGGCGTCTCGTCCGGAGACGTTAATAGCAACTGCATTGACTGTCTCAGCCGCCCGCTGGCAATGTATTGTTTTCAGGGATATTAGCAGGGCACTTAACAGCGATACCGGCCTTGTGTTTCAGCTCCCAAAGAAAGCCATGATCCAAACCACTTCACTGGGCAAGGTTCCGCTATTGGGGACTCAATTAACTCAGTTTGTCCCAAGAGAATACTTTGGTCAATAAAACCAGGGGGGAGTTGGAACGAGGATGCAAGAACGTGCTACTATTCACATCGACTGTTGCCAGCTGCTTAAAGTAGGGCCAATCCCATTAGTGAGGTTAACAGCCTCTGGGGCAGAGTGGCTAAGAGGACAAGCAAAGATTCAGGAGGTCCCTGGGTCAAACTATGCATCGGTCCCAAGCTCAGTAGATCAGGGGTGTCGAACTCATTTGTTATGAGGGTCGGATCTGACCTTGTTGGCCCGGGCCATGTGTGCCATAAAATGCAATGCTGGGTAGCGGAGATATAAACTTTATAAAGGACAGAAACACAAAGATTTTTTGTTACTTAAAATAAAAACATGCTTAAAGCATTACCTCTGTGATCTGCAAACTTACTTTTGCTTTATTGATATTCACCACACAAATCTGATGCTCAGGGTTCTGAGTCTAGGACCCAGGTTAAAACATGAGATGGCTGAGCGATTAAGAGAGTCTGGCGAAGCAAGCTATGATGCAGCAGCAGCAGAACTGGAAGCAGGAGATGGCCAGTTCCACTGAGGGTCTAATGGAAGCCCTCCGGGGGGGGGCCTGATCCGGCCCCCGGGCCGCATGCTTGACATCCCTGCAGTAGATGGACGTAGGCACTCTCAGCTCCCGTGTGCAAAATGACAATCACAAGGCGTACACCGAGCTTTAATCTCTTTGCCAAGCAGTGCGGGAATTGCTACTGCTGAGAGCACAACACGGATCATCCAGCAAAGCAGGAAAGCATGCATGCACAACGGCATTTCAGTCTGAGGCAAACGTGCCGGTCTTGGAAGACACGTACAGGAACAGCGTTAGGAAGGGGTGTGGACTGAAACAGAACAGACCACACGTGAAGCAACCGGTTTGCAGGAGTCACGTTCCCTTGAATAAAACGGAGTGAGAACAGTCGCAAGTCTGGTCAGGAGAATGCCGTGGAAGTGTAGAGACTGCGTTCTAAAATTAAGTGTGTCCTAATTAAAGTCTATTAATATGCTGGCCAGGCTTTCCCAGAGTTGTAGGGCAATGCTTTTAAGTATAGCACTGGCATATTTTCACATGTTAAAATTCCAGCTCTGCTATCTTTTTTTTTAAAAAACCCATCTTGTGAACAAGAAATGGATCAGAGGGGATATTCAGATGAATTCCTAATGGCCGGGAATACCAAGGGCAGGAGCAAGTGTCCTTCCCCTCCTTCACGGCTCCAAATGCACCATTTTGCTTTCTCCCATGGAACAGTTTCTATTCACCCTTATGATGAATGGCTGCACTTTGAGATACTGTTATGACGGAAGCCAGGCCACCTCCCTCACCCACCTGCAGACAGCTGCCCATCCCTCACTAAGAGAGGACCTTCCCTGGAGTTTTTGCAAAGCTTATCCTTCCAGACGCAGTCATGAAGCATTACCTAATGGCTCTGTTCTTTCTTTTAAAAGCACAGAGCTGATTGGAGCTTTCCCTCCCCGTAGAAAACATGACTGCCCACCTGCTTAAAGGAAGCAACTTTGATCTACCAAGTCAGTAGAAGAGTTAGTCCAATAATGGCTTAGTGTAATGGTCAGAGTACTGGATTAAAACATTGAGAGACCCAGGTCTGAATTCCACTCATGCCATGGAAATTTACTGGGCGACCTTGGGGGTCACACTTTCTAGCCCAACCTACCTCACAGGGTTGTTGTGAGGCTGAAATGGAAGCAATGTGAGAACAATGAAAGCTGCTTTGGGTCTTCATTGGGGAGAAAGGCAACGCATAAATAAAGTGGATAAATTAGGAGCTACTAAGCCAGGGGTGTCAAACATGCAGCCCGGGGGCCAGATGAGGCCCCCAGAGGGCTTCTATCAGGCCCGCAGTGGAACTGGCTGTCTTCTGCTGCTTCTTCCAGTTCTGCTGCTGCTGCGTCATCGTAGTTTTGCAGCTTACAGATACACACCTGAACAGCATACTCAAGACTGCAACAGCACAGACATTTTGATGCAATAATTCAGAGCAAGAGGTGTCAGTTATCAGACACTGTTAAATAAGCAGAATATTGCAAGACTGCTAATGTTTTAAGCATGTTTTTATTTTAAGTAAAAAAAACACCTTTGTGTTTGTGTCCTTTATAAAGTTTATATCTCTACTACCTGGCATTACATTTTATGACACACATGGCCCAGCCCAAGGAGGTCTCATTTATGTCAGATCCGGCCCTCCTAACAAATGAGTTTGACACCCCTGTACTAAGCATTTTAAGGATTTTGTTGACGCTGCTGATGGAAGAACAGGCTGACATGGTATAAAAAAAAGATGCCTTCATTACATTCGGCAGAAGGCACCTTCCCTTTTAGCCAATCTAGCTGTGCTGATCAATACTACTGTAACCTCTGTACTTGGCTGCTGTAGCACACTCTACAAGAAACCACCCTTGAATGCAACTCAGAGCCATTCTGAATACATTACAGCTTGGGTCACGTACGCATGAGATTGCCTTCTACTGAATCATACCGCTGATCCAAATGTCAGTATCATCTACTACGAATGGCGGCAGCTACAGAGGTCTTTTAGATTACTTAACCTTTTGATTGAAAGCGCTATGGATTGAACCTGAGAATATTTGTATATATAGCGAGAGAATCAATACTGCTAAGGAACCTCCATGTACAGAAGCAGTCAGCCCCTGAATCCCAGTGCCAGGAAGCCAAGATTAGGGGAAGATCTTGGCCTCTGTGCTCTGTTGTTGGCCCTCCAGAGGAACTGGTTGGCCGCTGTTGCTGGGCTAGATGGACCACTGGTCTGATCCAGCAGGTCTCTTTGTAACTACTCTGAAAAAAGGAAAAGTTTCTTATTGAGAAGTTTCAGCTGTATGGAACAAATTGCTGAGAGGCAGTTTGGTGTAGTGGTTAAGAGCGGTGGACTCTGATCTGGGAGAACTGGGTTTGATTCCCCACTCTTCCACATGTAACTGCTGGTGACCTTGGGTCAGTCACAGTTCTCTCAGAGCTCTCTCAGCCCCACCTACCTCGCAGGGTGTCTGGTGGGGAGAAGAAGGGAAGGGAACTATAAGCCACTCTGAGACTCCGAGTGAATGGTGGGGTATAAATTCTCTTCTTCTTTGCGAGCCAATTTGGTGTAGTGGTTAAGTGTGCGGACTCTAATCTGGGAGAACTGGGTTTGATTCCCCACGCCTCCACTTGCATCTGCTGGATGACCTTGGGCAAGCCATAGTTCTGGCACAACTGTTCTTGAAAAAGAGCAGTTTCTGTCAGAGCTCTCTCAGCCCCACCTCCCTCACAGGGTGTCTGTTGTGGGAAGGGGAAGGGAAAGGAGTTTGTCAGCTGCTCTGAGACTCCTTTGGGTAGTGAAGGGCATAAATCCAATCTCGTCTTCTTTTACCTCACAGGGTGTCTGTTGTGGGGAGGGGGAGGGAAAGGAGTTTGTAAGCCACTCTGAGACTCCTTTGGGTAGTGAAGGGCAGGACATAAATCCAATCTCGTCTTCTTCTTTTTAAAGCAAGCTTCCTTAAGAATCCAGAGAGGAAACAGGGCCCGGTTCTGTAAGAAGTGCACAACTGGTGAGCTCTCATGTAGCTTCTCTTCATCTCAATGAACACACAACAAATCCGAAGTCTGCAAGGCTCTTTTTAATAGTCATCTACAAAGGCCAAGGGGCCTTTCAGGTTGAGATATGAATTTATATTCTGCAGTACAAACAGCATTCAATTGGCTCTTCTTTGTGTGACCTTTTCCACTGGCCCCTCTTATGCTTTCAATACCCGGTAAAGGTTACAGGAGCGGCAACCCACTGGTGCGGAATGTGGAAATACCTGTAATTCTCTCCCATGCCACCGTTCATTTTAATATGTGAACTGATCAGCTCGTCAATTAGAGGCCCGAGGTGGTACCCTTCTGCCGTCTACAAAAAGGAGAGAATGGGGAGGGGGCGGAAGGGAAGGGGCTGCCCTTGAGAGAGACTCCCACAGGTTTCCGGAGGAGTTCCCGCCTCTTGGCCCGCCGTGTGGGCTTTGTGTATAAAGCCTCTTTTACAGAAGGATACAAAAGCAGCCTACGTTTCGCCGCCAACAGGAATCAGGAGTAATTAGTTTGTAACACGATTCCCGCATCGGTTTAGTCATTAACAAGGGTGCGAGAAACGGTTCACATTCTTTCAAAGCTGCTAATTTTAGACGGACGGAGGCAAGTCACAGTTTGATACCCATGCCTCCCCAGCACAAGCCCCTGCAGTCACTCAAGTGTTCGTACTGAACAAGGAGTCCCGAGCGCACAGAGCAGAACGCGAGCTTTTTAACCTCTGTGGTGGCTTTGGGGCATGCCTCAGTCCAGTTTCCACAACAGTGCCATAGGGCCCCCCTCAGTTCAGGAGGAAGCAGGCCTTCGGGGTGGGGGGTGGGGAATCACTCAGGGAGGTAGCCGCCTCACTGCATGCCAAACCACTGCTCTTGGTCGGCCCACTGGGCGGCCTCGCTGTCGCTGCCTTCCAAATCGCCCTCTTCCCCGCTCCCTTCCATGTCATCCACGTCTTCCTCCTGGGTAGCATCTGTGGGGCTTTCCTCTTTTTCCATCTTCTGCATCCCCTCCAGGGACTTCTGATCATTGGGATCCAAGCTAGGGGGACAGAAAACAGAACATAAGGACATGAGAGAAGCCAAGGTTGGATCAGGCCAGTGGCCCATCCAGCCCAGCACTGTGTCACACAATGGCCAGAAATACCAGGTGCCAGGTAGGAGCTTTCGTGAGTCACTGCTCACTTCTTCAGATACAGGTTGAGAAGTGAGCAGTGACTCACGGAAGCTCATGCCCTGCCACATATTTTGTTAGTCTTGATGGTGCTCCTGGACTCTTGCTCTTTTCTACTGCTACAGATAGACTAACATGGCTACCCATCTAAATCTTAAAAGAGTTTGGCATCTGAACACTGTAAGGTCCATGAACATAAGAGAAGCCATGTTGGATCAAGGCCAATGGCCCACCCAGTCCAACACTCTGTCACACAGTGGCCAAAATACCAGGTGCCATCAGGAGGTCCAGCAGTGGGGCCAGGACACTAGAAGCCCCTCCACTGTTGCCCCCGCCCCAACCACCAAGAACACAGAGCATCCCTTGCCCCAGACTGAGAGTTCCTGTCTATACCTTGTGGGTAAGAGCCACTGGTGGACCTCTGCTCCAGATGCTTATCTAATCCCCTTTTGAAGCTGTCCATGCTTGTAGCTGCCACCACATCCTGCGGCAGTGAATTCCATGAGTTCATGACTCTTTAGGTAAAGAAGTCCTTCCTTTGATCTGTTCTAAGCCTATTGCTCATTAATTTTATTGAGTGTCCATAAGTTCCTGTATTGTGAGAAAGGGAGAAAAGTACTTTTCTCTACCTTCTTTATCCCATGTAGAATTTTGTAAACCTCTATCATGTCACCCCTCAATTGTAATTTCTCCAAGCTAAAGAGCCCTAAACATTTTAACCTTTCTTCATAGGGAAGGTGCTCCACTCCCTTAATCATTTTAGTTGTCTTTTTGGTACCTTTTCCAATGCTATATCTTTTTGAGTCATGGTGACCAGAACTGTAAACACTATTCCAAATGAAGCCGCACCATAGATTTATTACAGGGACATTATGAGACTGGCTGATTTAAGAACATAAGAGATGCCAATGTTGGATCAGGCCAAAGGTCCATCCAGTCTAACACTCTGTATCACACAGTGGCCAGAAATACCAGTGCCATCAGAGGTCCACCAGTGGGGCCAGGACATTAGAAGCCCTCCCACTGTTGGCCCCCCCAAGCACCAAGATGACAGAGCATCACTTGCCCCGGAGCCCCTATCTATACCTTGTGGCTAAGAGCCACTGATGGACCTCTGCTCCATATGCTTATCTGATTCCCTTTTGAAGCCGTCCATGCTTGTAGCCACCACCACTTCCTGCGGCACTTTTATTCCAAGTGTTAATCACTCTTTGGGTGAAGAAGTACTTCCTTTTATCTGTTCTAACCCGACCGCTCAGCAATTTCATGGAGTGCCCACGAGTTCTTGTATTGTGAGAAAGGGATAAAAGTACCTCTTTCTCTACCTGCTCTATCCCATGCATAATCTTATAAACCTCAATCATGTCACCCCTCAGTCGTCGTTTCTCCAAGTTAAAGAGCCCTAAGCGCCTTAACCTTTCCTCATAGGGAAAGTGTTCCAACCCTTTTATCATTCGAGTTGCCCTTTTCTGCACTTTTTCCAAAGCTATAATATCCTTTTTAAGGTGTGGTGACCAGAATTGCACACAGTATTCCAAATGAGGTCGCACCATTGATTTATATAGGGGCATTATGATATTGGCTGATCTGTTTTCAATACCCTTCCTAATAATCCCCAGCATAGCACTGGCCTTCTTTATTGCAGTCACACACTGTCTCGACAGTTTCAGTGAGTTATCTATTACAACTCCAAGATCTCTCTCTTGATCAGTCTCTTCCAGTTCAGACCCCATCAACGTGTATTTATATTTAGGATTTTTGGCTCCAATGTGCATCACCTTGCACTTGGCCACATTGAACCCCATTTGCCATGTTGACGCCCACTCGCCCATCTTTGACAGATCCCTTTGGAGTGCCTCACAATCCTCACTGGTTTTCACTACCCTAAACAACTTTGTATCATTTGCAAATTTAGCCACTTCACTGCTTACTCCCAACTCCAAATCATTAATGAACAAATTAAAAAGCAGTGGACCAAGTGCTGATCCCTGCGGTACCCCACTGCTTACCCCCCTCCACTGAGAGAACTGCCCATTTATACTCACTCTTTGTTTTCTATTAATTAGCCAGTTTTTGATCCATAAAAGGACTTGTCCTTTTATCCCATGATTTTTGAGCTTACTTAGGAGCCTTTGATGAGGAGCCTTTGATTTGTTTTCAATCACCTTCCTAATAATCCCCAGCATCACATTTCACTTTTCTATTGCAGTCACACACTGAGTTGACATCTTCAGTGAGATATCTACACGACTCCAAGGTCTCTCTTCTATCTGCTGGTCAGTTACAGCCAGTTCGGACCCCATCTATGTATATTTATAGTTAGGATTTTTGGCTCCAATGTGTATTACTTTGCACTTGCTCACGTTGAACCTCATTTGCCACACAGACACCCACTCACCCAGCCTCAACAGATCCCTCTGGAGCACCTCACAGTCCTCCCTCGTTCTCACCGCCCTGAACAACTTACTGACATCTCCAGTCTTAAGTTACTTCATTGATTACTCCCAACTCCAAATCATTACTTCATTGATTACTCCCAACTCCAAATCATTAATGAACAAGTTAAAAAGCACTGGCCCTGTGGTACCCCACTGCTTACCACCTTCCACTATGAAAACTGCCCATTTATACTCTGTGCTTCCTGTTAATTAACCAGTTTTTAATCCACAAGGGGACCTGTCCTTTTATCCTATGACTGCTGAGTTTACTTAAGAGCCTTTTATGAGGAACTTTATCAAAGGTTTTCTGGAAGTCTAGGTAAACAACATCTACTGGATCACCTTTGTACACGGTTTATATTTTATTTTTTTGGCCCCCCGTAGGGGAAATTTTTTATTTGCATTTTCTACAAACTATAACAGAAATATAGGGAGGGGAATTCTACAAACTAAAGGGAGAAAAGTAAAAAGAACCTAACTAAAAGCCCAAGTGTTGGAGGTTATACAATACTTATAAAAACACTAATTGCTCTGTAACTAGTTACTTTCAGACATGAGGGGTATTCAAAAATAATCGTGTCTAGATCAATATCAGCTTGTCTGACCAAACAAAGAGTACTTCCATCGTTGCATCATGCTTACAGGCTTCAGAAGACAATGACACCATATTATACACTTACAACCCCCCCTTAGATATTTTTAATTTGGAACCCAGTCTCTTCAGTGAGTAAAAAACAGTCAGATTTATTTCTCCTTCTCTGTTGTCAACCTTCTTATCTTCTTTCCTCTGTAGCTCCCATCGCTTAAAAAAACAACAACTGGCCATTCTGCTAGCTAGTCCGCTTTTTTCCAACTATTACTTGCTTTTCTGAGATCAAAAGAGTCCTTCCTTCTGTTGTTTTAAACATGTGCTTATCGGTGAAACAAACTGCATCCTCTGCAGGCTGATTATATTCTCCGGGCAAGTCCAAGTCCAACCCTTCGCTCAAGAAAAAACGCTTTTCAATCAGCCTGCCCATTCAACAATACTCCAGAATCTCCTTAAACAATCCACAGGACCCCATGATCAAAAAGTCACAACTTCTCCGTTGGAAACACCGTCCCTTTAAGAATATAGCCACGTTAGAAAATAGTTCCCATCCGGTGCATCCTGGAAACCAGAAGTGGGCAGACAACTTCAACCTGCAGGCAGGAAGAGTCCATGATTTTGGCTAGGTCACATGATCCAGCCAGCCGTTTTCCCTCTTCCTGAAGAAAGCTTGGTTCCTGCTTACTCCTGCACCACAATCGCCATCTTTGGGGGATGTTTACATTTGCCGACAAAATGCCAGAGTCCTGAAGGTCTGTTAAAAACGCTTAAAATTTTGTGGAAAACTCTCTGTTATAGTCCATTGCTGCTGTTTACTCAGTCCCCCCAGTCGTAATTCCGCCTCATTAGATCGTTTAGGGGGTAGGGCGTCCCCTCCCCCTTGTATTGGGGGGGGGGGCTTCGCATCAGGGCTTTGATGTCTCGCTTCAACTTTAACTCACTCATCAGTCTTCAAGACGATCCAACAGGTCTCCCTGGGATCTCGCTAGGCAGAGATAAATCGCTGCACCGCCATACGCTTGTCCCGGTGTGCACTTTGAGTCCAATATTGGGAATCAGGGCAGGACCTTCAGGGCAGAGAGTAGCCCCCCTTTGCCGGCCGTTTGCCGGAGGAAGGGCTCTCCAGAAGCCCCATGGCTAGGAGCCTACTGAAGGGGCTCCAGGGGGAGCGCGGACAGTTGCACCCCCTCCCATCCACTGATTCATGGCATGCGTCTCTCGGAGCTGCGAGAAGACGCGGCCATCGTTAAAGCGCCGAAAACGGAAGCTCCCTGTCCACATGTTTATTCACCCCCTCAAGAACTCTAAAAGGTTATAGAACAAGTTGGGTGGCCGCGTTAGTCTGTCTGTAGCATACAGCAGTCTGTCTGTAGCACTATAAACAGAGAGCAAGAGTTGAGTAGCACTGAAAAGATTAACAAAATTTGTGGCAGGGAATGAGCTTTCTTGAGTCGCTGCTCACTTCCTTCAGATGTGTGAAGATAACCCCTTCAGAAGTGCTAAGAACAAGCAAGCAAACAATACTTAGAAGTAAGCACATAAAGTGACGTGATTTTAACTAGTAGCCTGAACATTTGGGCAATGGGCCAACCAACTTCAACTAGCCTCTTGCCCAGCCAGCTTCCTTATGGCAAAACCATTTGCTCAGAGTGAAAATCAACAAGTATGCAGCCTGCCAGATTACTCAAAAGTTTCCTGTTGCACACAAGAACACAAAGATCCTAGGATACAAGAGAAGACAGGCGTCTCTTCAACTGGGGAAATCAGAACCTGGGCATCTTTTAGGAGCACTGTTAGACCACTCAACGTGCAAACGTACATGATAAAAAGAATGACAGAAAACCTGCGCCATTTACAACTACTGGAAGCAGGTATCTCCACAGAGTAATTCATGAGCACCAAGGGTCACACAGCACTTGCTAGACAACGGAAGCTTGTGGTTCTCAGAAACTTACCTTAGAGCAATACTATACTGGTCCATGGCTTCTTGATACTCATTAACAGCTACCAGGAAATCCCCTAACATTCGATGCAGAATGCAGTCACTCTGATTGGCCAGGGCATTCCTTAGCAAAGCAATCCCGTCTTCGTATTTCTGTTCTCGGCCTGTCAACAAGGAGAACTTTTAACTTAGAAGAAACACCTTTTAGACAGAATACGCAACTCCTCACTGAGTAACATCAGGGAGGCTTGGTTAGCAATGCACAGTACTTGCAATTAAATGACAGGTTCCTTCTATAAAACGAAGAAGGGGAAAACGAAGGAAATTAAGACGGCCAGCAGCTGGAAGCCAGCATGAGACATGAAAAACCAAGGAACTGTAAATCAAAATATGGCTATTGTTTGTTTGGAAGAGGTCCATCAGTGGCTATTAGCCACAAGGTATAGATAGGGGCTCTGGGGCAAGTGATGCTCTGTCTTCTTGGTGCTGGGGGGGGGGTCAACAGTGGGAGGGCTTCTAATGTCCTGGCCCCACTGGTGGACCTCCTGATGGCACTGGTATTTCTGGCCACTGTAAGAACATAAGAGACACCAATGTTGGATCAGGCCAAAGGCCCATCCAGTCCGATACTCTCGTGTATACCAGGTGCCGTCAGGAGGTCCACCAGTGGGGCCAGGACATTAGAAGCCCTTCCACTGTTGACCCCCCCCAAGCACCAAGAAGACAGAGCATCACTTGCCACAGAGCCCCTATCTATACCTTGTGGCTAATAGCCACTGATGGACCTCTGCTCCATATGCTTATCTAATTCCCTTTTGAAGCTGTCCATGCTTGTAGCCGCCACCACCTCCTGTGGCCTTTGGCCTGATCCAACATTGGTGTCTCTTATGTTCTTAATTGAAGCTGCTCCTCCCAGCTCCATGGTGGCTGAGCGCGTGGTGGGGATGTTATTCAGGTTAACTGGGGTGGTTACCCCAGTTACCACTAGTTAGCAGAGTGCTTAAATAAAGCTGCAAATGCAGCAGCGCCACTTTACTAAGGTTACTCAGTTTACAAAGCTACACAGAGCCGCACTGCAAGTTTAGAAGAAACATACTTCTCTCTTTATTTGAGAAGTATACTTTGGACAGGAAAGAGGAGAGACAGGACAAAGTACTAACTTACTAGCTAAAGGATGGAAACAGATGGCAAGGGGCCCATCTGCCTCGTGGTGCCAAGAGAGGACCGCATGTCTCTCTCTTGGTGCATGCAGGGAGTGAAATCGTCTTCATGTCGACTGAGAGAGAATGGAAGGAAAGGAAAACAGACCCCGAGAACACAATCTGCATTTCAAAGGGGACAGTGGCAGGAGACTAAACATGGGAAGAAAGGTCTGTGTGCCTATCTAGCTATCTAGTCTCTCTTGCCACAAAGTCTGGAGGTCTGAGACAGGGGACATCACACCTGGAACCTCCAACAGAGGTCTACCTAGGAATGTATTTATGCTCACAGAATGAACTACGCAGACAAGCGGGCACAGAGGATGCAGACTCACTGAGAAGTTCGGCCTTCTTCACCACGGCTTTAATGTAGTCAGGCCTCTGTGTCAATGCTTTGTCCAGCAGTGTCTTTGCCTTCTCCTGTGCAACGGGATCTTCTAGACAAACGGTGGCCAGGAGCGTGAGTGTCTGTGCGTTGGCTCCCAGGGTTTTGTAGACGTTATTCGCCATGACGGTGGCTTCACGGAGACCGTTGGATGCCAAGTAGCATTCAATGAGGCCTGAGGATCAGAGGAGTAGAAGTCACTTTTTTCCCCCCCGAAGAGAGCCACCCTTCATTTCAGAGCTATTCACAGCAAGAGTAAGCAGCCCATTTGGGCTTAAAGACACTCAGGTTCATTGAAGCAATGGCCAAAGAGTTTGGCATAGATCGAGAACTTAGAAAAGATACTTGCAGTGTATCCTTTAAATGTTTAGTTTGACTGCAGTACTGTAAGGAGAGTGATAGAGGGAGACAAGTGTGATTTTGATTGGCTGATGACTGAGAGTGTGGGAGGAGCTGTTTGGAAAGGAATCTGTGTGTGGATGTGTCTATGAGTGATTCTGTATGTGAAGTTGGAAGAGTGAGCATAGTCTGTGTGACTAGGGGATTTTGAGTCTTTTTCTGAGTGAATAAGACCAACAATTTAGTCTGTGTGACTAAGAGAGTGGATTCTATTCTGTGTGAATAAAACGAAGAGACTAGCCTGTGTGGCTATATATATATATATCTGGGAGATAAGCCTATCAGAGTTGAGTTTTGGTGTATGAGAGTGTGTGTGATGCCAAGCTTTGTCAGTTATATTTTCTTTCTTCAACAACAGTTCAAAAAAATACCCAGAAACCTATTTTGTTCTTTTATAAATAAATCATTATTTGTTTAAACTTATCCCAGCAATCAGAACAGTCCTTCCTCAGGGCCACATAGTCCTCTGAAGTGCCCAGACACTGGGTCATTCTACCAAAATAGAGAGAATTAGAGATTTGGAATTTTTAATTCCTGGTGGCAGCAAAAAACTACTGAGTTTATATACACAGAGTTTAGAGGTAAAACCGTTTCCCCTATAAGCAAGGACATCACACCCACCAACATCTGTTTTTCCAAATTAATTGAAAATAACATTTTAAGCTGGTGTGTTTGGAATACATATCAGCTGTCTGTTATCGCTCAGGAAACTCCGTTCTACCACGATGTTCAATGTCTGCACACTTCAAAAATCACTATCGCTAGGCACCTTCATAGCAGTCCAGTCTGCAAGGGGCGAGCCGGATGGCTTCACGGAAATGTATGATCGCCTCCTGCACTCTCCCCATGTTCCGGAGAGCTGCGCCTTTAGGATGGCCTGCACGCTGTTGCTGTTCAGCTGAATGGCTTTCGCTCCCAAGTACAAGGCTCGGGAGTAGCGTTTGCTGTAGAAACTGTGGCACCTGCAGAAAGAACAGTCATGGTTGCTCACCTTCTTCTCCGCCCACAACAAACAGCTGGGGAGCTGGTGCACAGGCCATAGCGGAACATGTGACCTGCTGACAGGATGTGCTGCTGGAGAGCTGATGTAGCCCCACCCACTTTCAAACCAAGTCTCATACATGACGAACAACGGGTTCTGAAAGAATTATCGGCCTGCCCCGAGAACACTGTCTCTCGACCCGGCTCCCAACACTTGCACTTTCCCAACTTTCTAATTGTTTTGTGGAGGGAGATGGATCAAGGTCTACTACTGTTAATAACAATTTTAGTTGGGGAAAAATAGCTATTTGCCAGTAGCGCCTCCAAAATTATGAAACACATTGCTGAAGGAAGCTCATTTCTGCTTGACACCTTAAGATGTTAGACACCACAGTAAAGGCTTTTATTACAGCTTTTAAAGGATTCTTGTAATTTTAAGGAATGGATCTGTTACATTTGTTAACAGATGTTATTTTATCTAACAGTTCTACATAAGAACATAAGAGAAGCCAGTGTTGGATCAGGCCAATGGCCCATCCAGTCCAACACTCTGTCACACAGTGGCCAAAAATACCAGGTGCCATCAGGAAGTCCACCAGCGGGGCCAGAACTCCAGAAGCCCTCCCACTCTTGACCCCTGAGCACCAAGAATACAGAACATCTCTTGTCCCAGACATAAGAGAAGCCAGGTTGGATCAGGCCAATGGCCCACCCAGTCCAACACTCTGTGACACACAGTGGCCAAAACCCAGGTGCCATCAGGAGGCCCACAAGCGGGGCCACGACTCCATAAGCCCTCCCCGTTGCCCCCCAAGCTTCAAGAAGACAGAGCATCACTGTCCCAGACATAAGAGAAGCTGTGCTGAGTCAGGCCAATGGCCCATCCAGTCCAACACTCTGTCACACAGTGGCCAAAAAAACCAGGAGCCATCAGGAGGTCCACCAGTGGGGCCAGAACTCCAGAAGCCCTCCTGCTCTTGCCCCCCCCCCCGCCCCAAGAATACAGAGCATCACTTGCCCCAGACCGAGAGTCCCAGCTATACCTTGTGGCTAACAGCCACTCATGGACCTCTGCTCCATATGTTTATGCAATCCCCTCCTGAAACTTTCTGCGCTTTTAAGCAGAACTTCCAAGCAGTTCAGGAACAGCAACAACATTGGGAGGTTGTGATTTTATAGTTCATGCCAATTTTATTTACTGAACAACTATACCCTGCTTTTCCTCGTGGTTCAAGGTGGCAACTGTTGGAATTCCTAGACATCTCACACTAAGCCTTGACCAAACTCCCAGGGACTTTCAGTGAAGCTACCAACTTCACGTGGATCAGGATCTGCAGCCGGATGCTAAGCCAGCAATCCTAAACTTAAAAGAGACCAACCAAGAACTTGCTTAAAGGGGCTTTGAGCAATGTCTGACGGGCCCAGGGCTCTTTTTGTAACAGGAGCTCCTCTGCATATTAGGCTACACACCCCTAATGTAGCCAATCCTCCAAGAGCTTACAGCAGCCCCTGTAAGAAGAACTCTGTAAGATCTTGGAGGATTGGCTACATTAGGGGTGTGTTGCCTAATATGCAGAGGAGTTCCTGCTACAAAAAGAGCCCTGCGAGTGACTGCCATTTCGATGGAAGAGCCCAAAGGGAGCAAGAGAAGGCACATTACCCTGATACCACCCAAGGCTCCGCATGCTGGTCAGAAATATTGAAGAGACGGCAGCCTAGATTCTCCACGTCCTCCAGGCGACCCTCACGGGCTAACAGATAGCCATAGACGTCCATTCCTAAATAAAGAATTAAGATTACACGTTTTGCTTGTTTTCTTTAAAAAAAAACCTATTAAGAAAAAAATGCTGTCAAAGGCTTTCATGGCCGGAGTTCATTAGTTGTTGTAGATTTTCCGGGCTGTATGGCCGTGGTCTTGGCATCGTAGGACCTGACGTTTCGCCAGCTGCTGTGACTGGCATCCTCAGAGGTATAACACAGAAAGACGGAGTACCCTCTGTGTCAAGGTGAGAAGAAAAATAGTAGGCAGGTAATTTATATCTACTCAGGAAGTCATTAATGACTCTCAGCCCTACCTCACCTTCCTGAGTAGATATGAATTACCTGCCTACCATTTTTCTTCTCACCTTGACACAGAGGGTACTCCGTCTTTCTGTGTTATACCTCTGAGGATGCCAGTCACAGCTGCTGGTGAAACGTCAGGTCCTACAATGCCAAGACCACGGCCACACAGCCCGGAGAATCTACAACAGGTATTAAGAAAAAGCTTACATGACCCAGTGAGGACAAGATCATCTGTACCTCTGTCATAGGAAGTAGAAAAAATGCAAAGGGGAAAAAATAAATTTCCCAAATACTTAGGAATAGAAAAGCTGTTTACATTTACACACACACCCCAATGTATACAGTCTCAAGAGTCTTTTTTATGTTCAACAGTTATCATTTAAGTGACATTAATGGGCTGGACATCATTTTAGACAGAATTACACACAAACTCTTAATAATATTCTTGATTTTTATGCTGGAACAGCATGAGGCTCCACAATACTGTTTATGCATCAACTGGTAACCATATAAATTGTTCTTCAATAGACGACAATCATTTTACACTGATGGAATTTACAACTATCTATTTATCTAATTCCGAACATGACCTCGCATGAGGGGTGTATTGTTTAAGAAAACGCCCCCAAACTAAACAAGCAGCCAGTGAGTCTGCGTACATATACAGTGCAGCTTTAAAAAAATGCCAAACTGAGCTCTCATAACATCGCAGTTGGCACCGTGGGGTTGCCTAGCAACACCACATAAGCAGGCACTTAAAAAAACAGGGAAGGCAGAGGTAAAGGAGAAAGCAACAGCAGGGTGACAGGGGAGGGGGAGTGGCAGGTGAAAGGAAGGTGGACAACAGGAAGCAGGAGCAGTGACTATGGGGAGAGGAGGTGGCAGAGGATGAAGGGACAGCGGGGCGACTGGCGGGGGTGGGATTTCTACTCCCCCGCGAGTTCCTTGCAGGTCCCTGCTTGTTTCCCTGACTGTACAAGCAGAAAAAGGAAAAGAATAATCTGAATGAATCCTATAATTTTGCATTTGTTTCTTGTTCTCAGCTTCAGTGCTTTTTTACAAACCCTGTAGTGTAATTAACTTGAACACACAAAAGATTCTAGCAAGTTCCCCAGATTTCTCAGGGACTTACCCTTTATGAGATACGGATCCAACATTTGGGCCTGTTCAAATTTTAGAATTGCATTCTTGTTGTCACCGGCTCTGAAATACAGGTCTGCTAAACTCCCCAGTATATCAACATTATCCCTCAGTAGTGACTTCTTCTCCAGAGAGCTTTTTTGAGAGAAAAGAAGAAACAGAAAAATAAATTACAATGGTGATCAGCAATTTAAGAACAACCTGAAATACAACTATTAGACACACTCGCCTTGAAACCTACTTGTTGTAGGCTTTCTTCCAGTGCAAAGGAAGCAAAAAAAAAGGAAAAGGAGGCGGCATGTGAACACATGAGACTGCCTTATACTGAACCAGACTATCAGTCCATCAGTGTCAGTCTTGTCCACTCAGACTGGCAGCGGCTCTCCAGGTCCTCAGGCAGAGGTCTTTCACATCACCTACTGCCAGATCCTTTAACTGGAGATGCTGGGGATTGAACCTGGGGCCTTCTGCATGCCAAGCAGATGCTCTGCCACTGAGCTACAGCCCCTCCCAAATTATTATAAATTATCCAAGTGTCAGAAAAAAGAAGCATTTTTGTCCTTCACAAGGGAGGACTTTCCCTGTAGCTGTTGCCTGAACAAGAGAAAGCCATGGTTCAATAAGCAAGAGATTATCTTAACTCCAGGCCACAAAAAACTTCACAAGCTGGTTCCTCTCTCTCAGACACAGGAGTCAGTTGGGCTGTTTGGTTTCCCTTTTCCCTTCTGGCTTAGGGAGAAGCCTGCCCGTCCTTGGTGTGATCCAAGATAGGGAAAGTTAAGCCTTCATTTGTAGTTGCATTCTATATTTTTAAAGAAGTCATATGAAGGAGCTAAAAAGATTCTTAAGGGTAAGGATGTATCACCGGTGATCATGATCAAGGTAATTCAAGTCATAGTATTCTCCATTACTATGTCTGGGTGTGGAAGTCAGACAATGGAGAAAGCGGACAGGGAGAAAGTTGATCCCTTTGAAACGTGGTGTTGCAGAGGGGTTTCACAGGTACCGTGGACTGCCCAACAAGACAAACCAGTGGGTTTGAGATCAAATCAAGCCTGAATGCTCCCTAGAAGCTAAAATGACTAAACTATCATACTTTGGTCACATTCTGAGAATACAAGGGTCCAGGGCTTTTTTGGTAGAAAAAGCCCAGCAGGAACCCATTAGCATATTAGGCCACACCTGACAGCAGAAACCCATTAGCATATTAGGCCACACCCCTAACAGCACAGCACATTAGCTTATTAGGCCACACCCCCATGCCTTCCCTTGGCTTAAATGCCTCCCCGATCCTTCCAGGGCTTCCCCAGCCCACCCGCCTTGGAGTTGCCAGGGCGGATCGCTCTCCAGGCCTTTCCTCTGTAGCCATGCGCACAGAGGTTTTGGCTGTAGTGGGCGTGACCAACTCTGAAGCCAGCCGGAACTGCGTTCCTGCCCAAAAACAGCCCTGCAAGGGTCACTGGAAAGACCATAATGCTAGAAAAAGGTAGCCGAAAAAGAGGAAGACCCAACAGGAGATGGATTGACTCAGTCAAGGAGTCATTGCCTTTGTTTGCATGTTGTACTCCGCCATCTTTATATTAGTACTGTTTAGCTGCTTAGGCTTTGTTGTATATTTCATTGTATTTTAATGTATTTATTGCTTTAGTGTATCAATGTGGTTAGCCGCCTTGAGCCAGTTCTGTGGCAAGCCGGGATAAAAATGGAAACAAACAAATAAATAAAGGAAGGAAGGAAGCCACAAAGGCCTCCAGTGTGCAAGGCCTGAGCAAGGCTGTTAATGATGGGACATTCTGGAGGTCATTCATTTATAGGATCGCTATCAGTCGGAAGCGATTTGACGGCACTTAACACACAACACACGTGTACGTTTACAGCATATACATATGTATTTTGGATGGTATTTAAACGCAGGAGCAGCAGGGGTCATGGGGGGGGGGTGCGGTTGAGGTGCGGGAGGGCGGGGCCCGGAGCTCCCTGCTGGTGCCCGCTGGAGGTCGCCGCCGGCTGTGGGGAGGACACACTTCTGGTGATGTCAGGGGGTGTGGCATATGCTAATGAGTTATGCTAATGAGTCCCCCTAGCTCTTTTTCTACAAAATGACCCCTGAGGAGCAGTAAAAAAAGAGAGAGCACAGTAATATTGAAATGTCTTGTCCCGAGAGTACACAGCAAAGCAGCTTTCTAACATCAGCGGTACACTGAGCAAGACGGGTGGCAATGTGTTCTTCAAAGGCAGCACTGCTGGTCCAGTTTGCCTCCAGTTCTTACCAGATGGTGTTGATTGCTCTGGTGTTATCTCCGGTGTGTACAAATGCATATGCTTTGATCCACACTGAAAGCCAGTCTAGGTTTGGGATACTCTGAATCACGTTCATTGTCATGGAGGCAACTTCCGCGCCTTTCACAGAGAGTGACAGCAAACCTAAATAAGACATGACAGCAGTTGAGATGGCTGGCTCGGTCACCGAGGAAACTTCAGGTTCCAGTATCACGTATAACAGGTAACTTAGCAACACACATTCTTGTAGATTGGTGGGTTTGATAAAGCTTACCCACCATACCAACTGTCCTCATGATCTCACCCATCCCAGGAGAGAGAGCTCTGAAAGTCTCTTAGTACTACTCCTGAACAGGTGGGCTAGCTGCACCCCATACAAATCCACATTCTGGTACAAGTCCACATTGAAAACATTCCATCCTATTAACCTGTTTCAATCGCACCTTTTTATTTATTGTTTCAACTTACTACCCCGCTCTAATCCCCGAGTTCCAAGGAACTTTTATGCTAGCAACAACATTTAAAAGAATTTTAATAGCAATCACGGGTGGGAAGAAAAATGGCTACCTAGGATGGCGTCAAGGGCTAACGGACACTGCCTCAGCACCTCTTTGTAGCTCGTGACGGAAGAGGGCTCTTGACCCGCCTTCTTGTACAAATTTGCCAGCATCATGTTAATCTGTAACCCACAGAAAGCCAGCTGTGAGGACAATGGGAGTTTTATTACAGTCATGAGAGACCTAGCTAGGCAACAGAGAAGGGGCTTGGATTTCATTGTCCCAACACTCTCAGCTCTTGGTAAAAGAAAATGTCACAGGGGTTGGGTCGAACATATCCCGAGAATTAGTAATGTCAATCTGTCTTCACTTTTTATTTGAGGACGTGAGACTTGCCCATTACATTCTGAAAACAGAGAATGCACAAAGAACAATTTCTTCCTAGAACTGGCATCCCGCGCCACCAGAGAAACGCCATTTTATTCCCTGTCGAGACCCTACCTTTGGGGTTCTCTGCCTCGAAGGGATCCCATCAAGGATAGCAATGGCGTCTTTGTCTTGCTTCAACATGGTATAGCACTCTGCCATTTTGTATTTCACCTCGATTTCGGATGGCAGGCACTAGAAATACAACAGAGACAATTTTGTCATGGTTTTGCAGTTCCTACAACGGGAGGACACAAAATGATGGGATTTTTATACGACAGGCTTCATCACCTTAAGGGGCTGCTTTGGAACCTGTTCATCTCTTTGGCCCATCTAACCCAGTTCTGCCTATCCTGAGTAACAATCATCCTCCAGGGTCTTCTCAAGAAGAAGCCCTTCAAGCCGCCCGGAACACTGATTTGGTACAAGAAGTTATGGGATCAATTCTTGATGGAGTGTGTCACCTGCAAACTGAACAACGCTGCTCTTCGGCCGATCTCCACTAAATTCATGGAAAAGTGGAATCCCAATTCTGGACTTTCTCACTAAAGAAGAATTTGTTCCCACATTTTGGTCTCAGTATCATGAATGGTTGTAAATACTAAGCTTCTCTATAGGTTTAATCTACACATTAGGAGTATAACAAAGATTAGCCTGGCCACCCACAAGTTTTGGCTAGGATGTCTCTCTAAGATACATGGAACTCTGAAACACCAAGTTATTACATACTCACAAGATTGATGTTTGGTTACTCTGATTTCTACTGCACATAGTTTGCAGATGTTGAATCTTTGTACATGTTTTACACCTTTACATGATAAGTTAGCATACTGTTTATGTTCGATGTTCTGTATTTAATGTCAAATTATATGGTTTCTTGATTATACTTTGTGAAAAATTCAATAAAATATTAGAAGAAGAAGAAGAAGAAGAAGAAGAAGAAGAAGAAGAAGAAGAAGAAGCAGCAGCAGCAGCAGCAGCAGCAGCAGCAGCAGCAGCAGCAGCAGCAGCAGCAGCAGCAGCCCTTCATAGTGCTCCTAAGGTGGAGGTGCCCGGGACTAGATTTCGGCTTTTCTACATGCACACAGGTTGCTCTGACACTGAGCTATGCCCCCAGCCCCACATTCTTTCTTCTTAAGGTAAAAAAAAATATGCGCAACCAAATATATTGCATTTCATTTATCAAAGCGTTCAGGCATAAACTAACTTGGATAATGATTTACATGCTATGTCAATCATCCCAACTACTTTACCAGCGAGGCACTGAGTGACAACTAGCATATGAAGTCTGAGTACCTGACTCTGAGGAGTCGATGCAGCATTCCCAGTAGAAGGCCTCACTTTGGAAGTTTTACTCAACGCTTTCTTCTGCTGCAAAGCCATTGTATACTTACTGACGGCGTTTCTATACTCCTTGTCGTGGAAGAGGGAATCTGCATGGTACACCAGGAGCTGATACTTCTGCGATGGAGAAAACAACTCCCTGAAAGGAAGGCAAGTTAAACAAGCATGAGAGGGCCGCAGTAGTAGTGGTAAGGGCTCCTGCACTTTGAACAGAAGGGTGAACAGTGGGATTTGGGTTTTGCTCAGGGACCATCTGTTAATCTCCTCACCATGCACCAAGATTCCACAATGTACACACAGATGTCATAAGTAGGGCTACCAACTTCCGTGTGAGAAATACCTGGAGATTCGGGGGTGAAGCCTGGGGTTTGGAAAGGGGAGGGACCTCAGCTGGGTATAATGCCACAGAGTCCACCTTCCAAAGCAAATCTGCTTTTTGAAGAGTATCTGTGAACAGGGAAGCCCTCGGCCGTGAATTCATTAGGTGGTGTACAGCAAGTCAATATACTGTCAGTCTTAAGACAAACACACCCTTCATAATATGAGCCTAACAGCAATGTGTCATTTTACTCTGCATTTATAAGTGTTTTCAGAGTAATGGACACGAAGTCCTGCTACACAGAGGCTAAACAACTATTAAAAACAGTGGAATCTCTGGGGCCAGTGGTAAACAATGCTTTCCGTGTAAACCCTCCCCGAACGGGCTCGCCAGCACGGATACCTGATATTGTGGCAGATCTTAGACACAAAGACTAAGCGGAACCTCTTGGAATTTGCCAGGAAGAACAGAGGTCTGGAGCTTGAGGACACTCTGGCCCAGCTGTACCCAGATATTCCTTTTGAAATACTAAATGCCAGGAAAAATATGCGCCCAATTGCACAAAAGCATGCGGAGAAGAACTTCAGGTATCGTTGGCTTCCGCTTGGACATATATCCGTCACACACAAAGGAAGAACATTCACAGCCCATGATTTAACCTCCGGGGAAGAGCTCCTGAAGGCGTTGGAAGCGGACTCGGGTTAGGAGTCAAAGAACTGGTAACCAAAAGAAGAGGAATGCACCAGAAGACTGCAAAGACCTACACCGGAGGAGACTGCAGCTATAGAGTAACTTTTTTTCTCTTTCCCCTTTTTGCCTTATATATTTTCCCCCAAGTAAAGTAGCCTGGAACATAAAGTGTAGGGGAGCACGCGGGTAGGGCTATTCGGATAACCCACACACACACACCTCCCCAATGGGCAAGACTCTCAGTGAGAATCTTCTCCGGAATTGCTCCAGGGCCCCGGGGGAGGGAACGCCGATTAGAAGAGCTCCAGCGAAGAGGAAGAACAGAATTTAGTAAAAGATCTTAAGAGAGCAGAGTAAAGAAATGGAGGAATACATTTCTCTTTTGTATCTAACTTTCTATCTTACTTTATTGTAATAAAGTGTAGGGGAGCACGCGGGTAGGGCTATTCGGATAACCCACACACACACACCTCCCCAATGGGCAAGACTCTCAGTGAGAATCTTCTCCGGAATTGCTCCAGGGCCCCGGGGGAGGGAACGCCGATTAGAAGAGCTCCAGCGAAGAGGAAGAACAGAATTTAGTAAAAGATCTTAAGAGAGCAGAGTAAAGAAATGGAGGAATACATTTCTCTTTTGTATCTAACTTTCTATCTTACTTTATTGTAATTCATCTTATGATGATTTAGAAACGAAATATATATAGAATAGACGGTTATAAATATAAGGAGATCCAAAGGGAAATTATGGGAGATCGAGTTTATAAGTGCATTTGTACTGGAGCCATTTTGAGAGGCAGAAATATTAACTCAGGTGTGCCAATTTCTATTGGATTAATTAATGATTATAACTTACAAATGAAGTAGAAGCAGAATAGAATTGGCAACTTGTAGAAGACTATTATCAAAGAATGTTAACTTCATTTCCTGTTGTAGAATAACTTGTAAATGATTTGTAAGATTTTGAAATTAATAGAAAATTTAATTGGAAAAAAACTGTGGAGTCCGGCTCTCCTTCGGATCCAGTTTTGTTCATCCCTTAAATAGCTTCCTGCCAGATACAAACTTGCCTTGTCCAACCAAGAAGTGACCAGGGGCCGAAATGTTTCCAAAACAAAAATACTCTGATGTTAGATTTCTCCATTGAAAAATCTCTCACCCCCATATGTTAATGCAGTATATTTATCTGAACATTTCTCTGAGAAATTAGCTGTTGCAGATTTTCCGGGTTGTCTGGTCGTGGTCTTGGCATCGTAGGACCTGATGCTTTGCCAGTAGCTGTGCCTGGCACCCTCAGAGATATAACACAGAAAGATGGAGTACTCTCTGTGTCAAGGTGAGAAGAGAATGGTAGGCAGGTAATTTATATCTACTCAAGAAGGTGGGGTAGGGCTGAGTCAGTATCTTGTAGGAGTTCCCCAGGCTGTGAACATGCTAAAGGAGGAGCTTTCCTGAGGAGGTTTTTGCATATGGACTGTTTCCTGAGGAGGTTCTTTTGCTTATGGATCGTTTCTGAAGGAGCTTTCCTGTTTCCTGGGGAGGTTCTAATCTTATCTGTAGTGCTATGAGGTTCTAATCTTATCTGTAGTGCTATTGTCAGATGTCTGAGAAACGTTGGCTGAGAAATGGTTTTTTTAAATAATATTTTATTGATTTTATAAACTATATCCTACATTCTAGACGTAAGGGTACAGGGGAAAAACCTATCACTGGCTGAGAAATGATGAGGTGTAATGTTTATATTCTGCTTTACAAAGTGTATGTGTATTCTTCTATTTGAACATACTTCACCTGTATTGTTACTTGTTCTTTGTTAATTATTAATAAAATGTTAATTACAAAAAAAAATGCAGTATATTTATCTATACTCGTCAGCGCTTTCCGTGCTGCAAATCCATCGTGTTTGATGGAGTAACTGTGGGTATGAAGCATGGACAAAGTGACTGTATGTGGTGTATCTGTCTTCTTTTGCTAACAATACATTCAAGTTATTTAAATGTGCAGAAAACCCACACCACATCACTGCGACCAGGGGACCCTCCCACTTCTCTCTCCAAGTAACTCCCCCACATCGCTATGTGCCCAGACAGCACCCCCCCATCTGAATCACCCCCATAACAGGGAGCAAAGGTAGCACAGAAGAGAAGAAGAAGAAGAGAAGAGATCGGATTCATACCCCACCCTTCACTACCCAGAGGTGTCTCAGAGCGGCTTACAAACTCCTTTCCCTCCCCTCCCCACAACAGACACCCTGCTGTGAGGTAGGTGGGGCTGAGAGAGCTTGACAGAAACTGCTCTTTTTTCAAGGACAGCTCTTGTCAGAACTATGGCTTGCCCAAGGTCGTCCAGCCAGGTGCAAGTGGAGGAGTGGGGAATCAAACCTGATTCTCCCAGATTAGAGTCCGCACACTCAACCACTACAACAGACTGAGCTAAGAAACGGAAATTCCCCAGTGCAAATTTTTCTGCTGCCCTATCAGCAGAAGAAGTTGGGCAGGTTTCTTTTTTTGCCAAAAAGACTGGAGGATACATCATCATCATCATGACCATCATTCCATCTGCGCCCCCCCCCCCAATTCCTGCAAATTGACCATCTTCAGAGCGGGCACGATTGGGGGGGGGTGCGAGATGTTCCTGGCAGAGGACAACGCTGTAGGGATGCATATTGCCGCTGTAATATATTGTTATTACTGCTGTTTGTTGTTTCTAGCATAAATTATTATAGAACCCCATCTTGAATTATAGTTAAATACTTTGGGAGCACCATAAGAAATTTTTAGTGAACTGTATTTAATGTATTTATTGTATTTTATATTTTCTGTATTGTTTTAGTGCTTTAACTTGGGCATTTATGCCCCTTGTGAGCCGCCCTGAGCCTTCGGGGAGGGCGGGATACAAATTCAAAGATGAATAAATAAAAATCATCATATATAATGCTAACCTACTTTTCAGGATTGTAGTAAGGATTATATCAAGATAAGGTATGTAAAGTTATTTTTCTGAGTATTTTGAAAGACAGCACATGGAAGCATTAAGGGTTATCAGCAGCAGGTGCGTGCAGTAGGTCCTCACCAATAACAACTGTGTGCCAGCCAGCTGCAACTGATTCACGGCAGCCCCAGGACCACGGGTTTTCAAGGCAAGAGATGGGCAGTGTCGGCTTGCCACTGCCTTCCTCTGCCTAACAGCCCCAGCCTTCCTTGGTGGTCTCCCATCCCTAATTGTAGCAGACACTACTTAGTTTCTAAGCTCTGATGAGATCAGGCTACTCAGGGCTATATTCAGGTTGGTGGGTCTTTACAGGGCTGACAGTTTTTACTGTCTTGTGTACATTTTAATTTGTTCTATTGATGTTTTATACAACTGTGTTCTACACCGCCCTGAGCCTGGTTCCCCCAGGGAGGGCGGTTGATGGTCAATAAATAAATAGAATAGCCTTAAATACATAAATTGCAATCTAATCAAGACAAACGGGACCTTATTCCAGCATTTAGCTTTTATGGAGATAACTCTGAAATAGATTTTATAGATGAAATTATAGGGAAGGGGGCAAATAGCAAAGTATTTCCCCCCCCATAATCTCACAGAGGTTAATGTCTGCCTAGCGAAAACCCACTGAATTTCATGTGACAACGTGGGTTGTAGCCTACTGAAGTTTATGCTGGAATAAATCCTTGTTAGTCTTTAAAATGTCACAAAATCCGCTATTTTTTGATGCCGCAAACCCACACAACTGCCTTCTGTAATTCTCCTCTGGCCCATGCAAGTTTATGCTACCATGAAATCTTAATGAGGATTTCTCCTCATTAAAGAAGCCAGATACAAGATCAAAGGCAATACACGTAAACAAGAAAAAATGCATGTGCCCAAATTATAACACCAAAATCAATAATTTAATAAATCATATAGATATGACATATATAGTGCTCAGAACAAATTTTCCTATTCACAAGTAAAGTTAATCACAGGCAGAAATTCACAGGTGGAGTTTTTCCACAAACTATAAATGCAAAAAAGTCTTTGGACTGTAAGGCTGTAGCCATGTCTCTTCCAGCTGACTGGATGGAACCCCGGTTATAAATCCGTTTCAATAATAATGTTTTCAACATTTCAAAGATAACATGTAGACATCCATAAAGTATATTCAGATACAGCAATCCTCAGCGATTCCCAATGGAAAATCAATCATTTCTTGGAGCCTCCCTCCAAAATTCTGAAGCATTTCACCACCATGCCATTTTCATTAGAGGGAAATTTGTGAAATCATTGCTTTTCGGTTATAATTTGGGCACATGTGTGTTTTGTTTCTTTCTTGTTTACATTAAAGAAGTCAAACAACCAAAATCTGGTTGAACAGATCTGCAGATACTGTTAACACTGCAACACTTCCCCCCCCTCCACCGTCACTCTATTATGTTTTATATTAATATGTATTAAGTATTGTATTCTACCATGCAAGCAAACGCCGTTGATTTCAAACCGCTTCCACGCCACGAGCGGAATTTATGCCCCAGCCAAAATTCTAGTTCTACTAGCTGACGCAGAGGCCGAGATTCCATGCAAGGTGGCCCCCTTTGCCCTGGCTGCAGAGAAAGTTCAGAAGAAAACAGTAGCAGGACCCATAACCTGATCACCAAACGGAAGCCTGGATGGGAGACATGGAATTATTATAATGTTTTATCGTGTCCTTAGGTTTTTTAAATTCTTTAAATTCATCTGTTTATACAGATGTTGTGTGAATATTTACATGAATTATAGTTGTATTAATGACTTCTGTTTTAATATTTTAGATTTGATTACTTCCATCTTTTATAATTGAGCTTAAGACCTTTGGTGATAGAAGCTAATAAACATAAGTAAGTACAGACGTTGTAATTAGAGATGTGAAGGCCCGGAAAAAACCCATTTTTTCCCCTGAAGCCTTGTTTTTTTCTGAAAAATTGAAAAAAGGAAAAAAATGATTATGGAACGTTTAACATGATGAATAAAATATTTCAAGACAAGGTGTTCAAATATTTTCCAAATCATTTCTAAAAAATACGTATGGTATCAGACTGATCAAATTTCTGTGCACTGAGGACAAGCAAGTCCTAGGTTACCAACTGAACTCTCCAATGCAAGAACAGGATGTATTTCTTCCTTTAGGAGGTGTGATTGTCACAAGAAAAGAAAAAGGGTTGTTTTGTTTTTGCATGTGGGCGGGTATTCTGTTTGTAATAACTGTTTGGATACCCTATATTTTTAATATGCTAGTTGTGATAATTTCATGCCAAGTAAAAATGGTCCATAGTCATATTTTATGTTCCTAAAGGAACAGAATGACTTTCAATCTGGAAAAGAAAAAAGAAGTGCGAATGTAGCATTTTTTTTTTTTCAATTTTCCCGAAAATTTCCATTTTTCCCACGGGGAAAATGTGTGTCCCCCCCGCAGCTTCAAAATTTCCGGAAATGTTACATCTCTAACGTTGTCACTGTTGTACTGTCCTGCCACTGTAACGGCCTCCCACTAAAGGCGAGACCCTGGAACCCGAACCGATTTCCCAGCCGGCTCTGCGCGCGGCCACCCCAGAACACTGGGGCGGCGAGTTCCGCGGGCGAACCCGCGTTATCTCGCGGAAACCTCCCTCAGCCCCGAATCGGCTGCCCGTCCAGAAGAAAAACTCCGGCGCCGGGCAAGCGGCGGGCCTCACTCACGGGTTGTTGCCGCTCATGGTCAGCAGAAGCCCGCTGAGGAGCCGCACGTTGGAGTGGAGCCCGGCGGCCGCCATCTCCCGGACGTGGTCCACCACGCTCATTTTGACGGGGAGGAGGAGAAGCGGCGACCGGGAAAGAGAAGAGAAAAGAAGGGCGGCGGCGGCGGCGGCTGGTTCGTCCGGTCGGAGCCCTCAGGAGGAACTCTAAAATGGCGCCTCTGCGAGGGGTCCTCACCGCGAAGGAGGCCATAACGGCGTCAACGGCCCGAGCTGTCCTCGGCGTTCGCCTGACACCTTTCCACATCAGCTCCCGCGCTCCCGCCCTGACGTTGCTATCCTTCTACTGCAGACTGAGATTTTCGCCACGTCTCGAAGTATCCTTTGTTGTTCAAGCAGATGATTTAAGGGGAAAAAAACTTAAGGCACGATTCCGGTCGCCTTGAACGCACAAGGGCCTTCATGAGAGAAGGGAAAGGGGTAAATAGAGCATGCGCAGTAGGCGCCCGGCGCCCACATAGTGGTTGAAGAAAGACTAACGAGGTGCTTTTGTAAACTTCGGGTAAAAATCGAAAGGCGCGATTGGTTGTTTGAGGGCGGAAGAAAGCGCCACTCTCTGACTAGCCATTTCTGTAGCCGTATCACAAAGTTTGAGTCCAGAACCTTTAAGACCAACAAAGTTTCATTCAAGGGTTGAGCTTTCGCGTGCACGCACATTTCTAAAGATACAATGAAATGGACGTTACCACCACTCCATACATCCAGGTAGAGGGTGAGCAGCAAATTAGCATGCAGCATAATGATGATGTTTAATAGATGTGAGAACCAAACAGGAATAACGAGCTTGGTTCATGTGGTTACCATTTGTTTGGATTTAATTACGGGGAAAAACGCAGTGGAGTGAATAAATGTGTCAAAACTGGAGGCTAATTATTTATTTATACAACTGATTATGTTGTATGCTAATTTGCTGTTCACGCTCTACCTATATGTATGGACTGACAACTTCCATTTCAGTGTATCTGAGGAAGTGTGTGTGTGTGTGCACAAAAGCTCAGACCCTGAATAAAACTTTGTTGGTCTTAAAGGTGCCACTGGACTCAAACTTTGTTCTACTGATTCAGACCAACACAACTACCCACCCAAATCTATAGCCCTATGATAGACTGATAGGCCTGTTTTAAAACCAGAAGTGGCTCATTAATAAATTTTTAAAAAGAAGAAGTGGCTCATTAAACTTGTCATGTATCTTTTCCCATCTCTAAGTGAGATAAAGAGAAGGCACATGGGCAGCGTGCCTAGAACCTGCTGTAGGCTTCAGAAGGATGCAGAGTGGATTCAAATATTTGAATCTTCTTTAGAAAAGTTTACTTTATTAATTTGTACGGTACCCCACCTCTCTCCCCAATGGGGGACCCAAAGTGACTTACATCGTTTTCCTCCGTTTTTCCTCACAACAACAACCCTGTGAGGTAGGTTAGGATGAGAGTGTGCAACTGGCCCAAGGTCACCTAGCAAGCTTCCACAGCAGCGGGAGGATTTGAACCTGGGTCTCTCAGATACTAGTTTAGCACTCTTAGCCCCTACACCAGTTGCAGCACTTAAGGGTTTTTTTGCAGTTTTGTTAGTGTAGCTTTTATTGCCTGCGATTTAAAAAGTTGACACAGATTAGGCATGTAATCCCCACACTCACCAGAGACCAGAGTTTGCCCCCCATGACACAAAGTGGGACTTGTTTCCAAGCATAAAGGGCCGTAAGACTGGACTGTGGGCGCCCCTGAATAAACGGGGTCTTTCTTCTCAGTAAATATGAACAGGATCAAGCCAGAAACTTGAAATAAATCCAAATTTACCCCAACAGCAAATATCAAAGTAATAGGACTTTGAACAGAACATTGACAGAAAGCACAGAGCAAGATGTACCCACCTCCAAGGTATCTGTGCTGGACCCTATAAAAATTCAACTCATGCCAGACCTTTTAACAGGGTTAACCAAAATATCACAAAATGGCAAAGCTTTCTCAAGGTTTGCAGAGCCCAACAGATTGCCAGGACTTAATAAACAGGTGTTATCAATGACCTCCCACATTCCCACCCCTTGGGGGGGGGGCAGAAGAAGAAGGAAGAAGAGGTGATTGGATTTATACTCCACCCTTCACTACCCAAAGGAGCTTAGAACGTCTTACAATCTCCTTTCCCTTCCCCTCCCCACAACAGACACCCTGTGAGGTAGGTGGGGCTGAGAGAGCTCTGACCAGGCTTACCAAGTACTTACTGTGATTCAGTGGGGGACACATAGTCTTTCCCAGGACCATTCCCACGCGGACAACAGATGCACCGCACCATGCCGTCGCCAGGAAGTGATGCTGGGCGACACTCTGGCAATGGGGCTGGAAACTCGATGGTACCATCGAGTTTTCAGCCCCATTGTCAGAGCGTTGTCCAGCGTCACTTCCTGGCAACGGCATGGTGCGTTCCAGGGAGGAATGTTCCGGCCGGGGAGCATGTGCCCCCGCCGGATTGCGGTAAGTACTTGGGAACCCTAGCTCTGACAGAAACTGCTCTTTTTCAAGAATGGCTCTGAGAGAACTTGTGACTGACCCAAGGTCACACCAGCAGCTGCATGTGGAGGCGTGGGGAACCAAACCCAGTTCTCCCAGATTAGAGTCCGCGCACTTAACCACTATACCCAAACAGGGATGGCTCCTGCTGATGGTTGTACCTGTCCCACCTGGGACTCGGGCACCTGGCTTCCAGTAGCAAGTTCCACCCACCTGGCATGGCATGAGACGGCTACTCCTTGCTTGGCTCCAGTGGGGTGTGTGTGTGGCAGTAATTCTGGGCCCCCATGCTGGACTTTTCCCCAAGGCCCCAGAATCACTAAGGCTGCCCTGGAAACCCCTGCACTTTTGCAGAAGATCCAGGGACATATTCTTAGGCATAAAGTCAGTTCACTGGGGGTAACATGGAAACTGAATGGCAAAGAAAGACTGACAGCCTGCAGGAAGTGTCATTCAGGGGAGATAATCCTTTTTTTAATCTCTCCCAGGAACACACTATGGAAAAAAACAACCACTTTTTCAAACACGGCCATCTGAAAATTCCAAAAAGTGGGTCAATGACACACCTGCAGCTGACAAAGGTAAAGAAAGATGGAAAAACGCGTTAGAAACCACTATTTTTATTATCATCATCATCCGTCATTAAGTTCCAGCTCAACAAGAAGTCTTGCACATGATTTTGGTTCCACGTTTCATGCTGTCGGTGGCTTTCCCCCCCCGCAGAAGCGCTTATTCTTCTCTCAGTAGAAAACATATATTAAAACAGAGGCAGAATTGTGTACAACTGGCAGCAAAGTGCTTGAACAAAACAGCTCCTCATGCTTCTCTTCACTGCCCCGGGCCCGACAGGCTCTTGTTCATGAATTGCCTCTTCACAAAACACATCCACCACTGCAGGGGGGAAAAGAGGTATAATTGAGGGGGGGGGAGGAATGCAGGAAGAAAGAAGAAGAAGAGATTGGATTTATACCCCGCTGGTCACTACCCAGAGGTGTCTCAGAGCGGCTTACAAACTCCTTTCCCTTCCCCTCCCCACAACAGACACCCTGTGAGGTAGGCGGGGCTGAGAGAGCTCTAACAGAAACTGCTCTTTTTCAAGAACAGCTGTGCCAGAACTATGGCTTGCCCAAGGTCATCCAGCAGGTGCAAGTGAAGGAGTGGGGAATCAAACCCGGTTCTCCCAGATTAGAGTCCGCGCACTCAACCACTACACCAAACTGGCACTTAACCACTACACCAAAGAAGAGGAAGAGATTGGATTTATACCCCGCCCTTCACTACCCAAAGGAGTCTCAGAGCGGCTTACAAACTCCTTTCCCTCCCACTCCCCACAACAGACACCCGGGGAGGTAGGCGGGGCTGAGAGAGCTCTGACTGAACCGCCCTTGAGAGAACAGCTCTGACAGAACTATGTCTTGCCCAAGGTCATCCAGCAGCTGCAAGTGGAGGCGTGGGGAATTAAACAAGAGTAAATGAACTAATTTTGCCTTGTAACTAGACATTATGGGAGACATGGTATTGCCACTGAAAATGGCACCTCTGTTTTCAATTATCCTCCAAAATGTCTAATGAATTTCAATGAGGGATGCCAGGTCCCCCCGATCCTGGCCACCGATGGGGGATTTTTTTGGGGGGGGGCATGGTTGCCAGACTCAGGTTGGGAAACTCCTAGAGATTTGGGGGCGGAGCCTGGGCAGGACAGGGACCTGAGTGGGGTACAAGGCCAGAGAGTCCCCCCTCCAAAGCATCCGTTTTCTCCAGGGGAACTGATCTCTGTAGTCTGAAAGAGAGTGGTTATTCCGGGGGATCCCCAGGTCCCACCTGGAGGCTGGCATCCCTACAATGCTCGTCAGCATGCTAGAAGTTTCTCCATTCCCATTCCCCCAAACTCAGCGTGGTGTCATGTGGTGAGTTTTACTAACGTTACAAGGGATTGTGGGTGAACTAGACTCAGGACTTCCATTTTCAAAGGCAGTCTTATGTCTGCCATAAACTCTGCTTTTGCCTGAAGAAACCCTTGTGTTTTTTTTTAAAGGAAGAACAAAACATGCCTTGATTAAGTGGTAGGCAATGTTCCCTCTAAGCTGAGTTAGTGTGAGCTAGCTCAGTTTTTTAGCCTCTGGCTCACACATTTTTGTCTTAGCTCAGGAAGGAGGGCTCCAGAGCAAACTGATTTATGCAGTAGCCAAATTGGTCGCTCATAACTTTAATGCCAGGAGCTCACAAAGTAGAATTTTTGCTCACAAGACTCCACGGCTTAGAGGGAACGTTGGTGGTAAGCTCAAATATCTACTTTGCCATATACTCTACCAGATCCCATTGGCTCAGGGGACACACGGGATGAACAGAAGGCACACACAAAACGGAAGACCGTTTCTCTGTTATGCGAGAACCATCCGTATTCCTGTTCAGGCACTCAGGCACACAACGTTGTGCTGATAAACTCAAAAGCTGTGCCCCACAGAGTGCTTCACCGGTATCCTGTTATCTGACACATTCTGCAGTTTCCTTAATTTTAAAAAAGGGAGAAGAGGCGGTACTGCTGTTCACACGGCAGTCTTACCTTGCTGGGCTTGTCACTCTGGGGATCAAAGACCTTCTCGCAAAGCCTCAGACCGGTTTCTTGCCTCAGTTGCTGCAGATAAGCTCTCATCACCTCTGAAAACAGAGAGAAACACACCCGGCTAAGCGCAGGTCACACTCGAGTTCTTGTTCAGGGGACAAACCCCCATTTTTATGTGTGTCGATTGAGGTTACAGGCCACGGAGATGTCAAAGGGCAGGTACCCCCAAAGCATGAGGCTGAGGGCACCCAAATTGTCTTGCCCTCAGGGGTCGTTTCGTAGAAAAAGAGCTAGGGGAACTCATTAGCATAACTCATTAGCATATGCCACACCCCCTGACATCACTGGAAGTGTGTCATAAGGCCACACCCCCTGACATCACCGGAAGTGTGTCATAAGGCCACACACCCCGCCCCCAATGGTCCTGGCCGCCGCCAGCCTTGCAGCTCCACTGCCAAGCCCTATGAGGGGCCCGGCGGTGGACCTGCAAGGCCGGCGGGAGTGCAAGGAAGCCCCGCGAAGGCCCTCCCTGGCCCCAGGCAGGCAGGGGTAGGGAGAGGCAGGGAGGAAGCAACTTACCCTCCCTCTTCTCCTGCCTCCTCCTGGCTGAATGAGGGCCGGAAGCGGGGCGGCCGGAAGCAGGGGGCGGGGCTTCGTCATGTGCCCGGCCCCCGTACCTCACCCGGGGGAACTGCAATCCCCCGCCATCCCCCCTGAAATGACCTCTGCTTGCCCTACAGAAGAGACTGCTTTGCATTCAGTCCTGTGTTGTGGGGGCTTTGGGCGTTGTTTTTCCCTCTCGATTCATCACTGTGACGTGCCTTCCCAAGTGAGCTCTTTCAATGGCCAGCCTGCAGCTATATATGCAGGTCTCCTTACAAAGTAGGCTGGGATATTCTCTGGCGAGCTGAGCTAGCAAACACGCACTCCGTCTGACAGGGCTTCAGGATAACATTAACACAGGAGAATTTTGTTCAGAGCCCAAATATCTGGACAAGCGTGGGAGCCCAGGAGGCACAAACGTTCCTGGTTTGGTCCAAAAGAGCAACAAAGGTCAATTTCAGGACAGCCGAAAAGGTGACCTACAGATCAGCAAACTTAGTTACATCATAAGAACATAAGAAGAGCCTTGCTGGATCAGACCAATTGTCCATCTAGTCCAGCATCCTGTCTCACACAGTGGCCAACCAGTTCCTCTGGAGGATCAACAACAGGGCAGAGAGGCCGAGGCCTTCCCCTGATTTTGCCTCCTGGCTCTGGGATTCAGAGGTCGACTGCCTCTGCACGTGGAGGTTCACCTCAGTCACCATGGCTAGTAGCCATTGATAGACTTATCCTCCATGAGTCTTTCTAATCCCCTCTGAAAGCTGTTTATCCCTGTGGCCATCACTACATCCTCTGGCAGCAAATTCCACATTTTAATTACTCTCTATGTAAAGTAGTACTTCCTTTCGTCCGCCCTGAACCTACTGCCCATCAGCTTCATTGGATGCCCTAGAATTCAAGTCTTTTGGGAGAGGGAGGAAAAAGTTCTCTTTGTCAGCTCTCTCCACCCCGTGCGTAACTTTATAAATCAATGAAATGCGCAGTGAGCCCCTTCAAAATGGGCACTGTATGCTGCTTATAGGGGACCATGGCAAACAGCCTCACCCACTGTATTCTGAACCAGAGGAAACTTCCGAAAACTCTTCAATGGCAGCCCAACCTGCCTGGATGCACAGCCTAATATACAACCATGTAAGGCACCCTGACTCCAGTGCGACTTGCTTCTGGGTCAGCGTGCGCAGAATTGCAATTTGGCCCCCGCATGTCTATCAAAGCCCGCGGATCTACTGGGAGCTCTCCTCACCGTCTTCCTGCTTGTTGGTGGGCCTGGCATAGAGAGCGTTGAGCGGGAATCCTGGCTCTCCGGGGATGGGGAAGTTTGTGATTCCGAGGGTGTACATTTCTTTTTCTCCTTGGCCTTTGGAATTACACTGGAAACAAAGACAGCACAGGCAGGAGTGATCCCAGTCCAAAACCATCCAGTCCAGCTCTGTGTCACACCGTGGGCAGAACCCAGGTGCCATCAGGAGGTCCACGGGCAGGGCCAGAACTCCAGAAGCCCTCCCACTCTTGCCCCCCCTCAAGCTTCAAGAAGACAGAGCATCACTGTCCCAGACATAAGAACATAAGAGAAGCCGTGCTGGGTCAGGCCAATGGCCCATTCAGTCCAACACTCTGTCACACAGTGGCCAAAAAATACCAGGTGCCATCAGGAGGTCCACCAGCGGGGCCAGAACTCCAGAAGCCCTCCTGCTCTTGCCCCCCCAGGCACCAAGAAGACAGAGCATCACTGGTCCAGACAGAGTGTTCCATCTATACCTTGTGGCTAACTGCCACTGATGGACCTCTGCTCCATATATTTCTCCAATCCCCTCTTGAAGCTGTCTGTGCTTGCAACCACCACCATCTCCTGCAGCAGTGAATTCCATGTGTTAATTTCGGGTGAAGAAGTACTTATTTTTATCTGTTCTAAGCCTACTGCTCATTAATTTCATTGAATGCCCACGAGTTCTTGTGTTGAGAGAAAGGGAGAAAACGGCTTCTTTCTCTATCTTCTCTTTCCCAGGCATGATTTTGCAAACCTCTATCTTGTCACCCCTCAAACATCATTTCTCCAAGCTGAAGAGCCCTACCCTCTTTCACCTTTCTTCATAGGGAAGGTGCTCCGTCCCCTTAGTCATTTTAGGCCCTGTTCACACAGAGGATTTGCCACGGTAAAAGCACGAATGGCAGGCGGATTATCGGTACGCGATCACACCGCAACATCTGGGAAGCGTAGCACACCCGTGGGCCATCCGTGGCTTCCTGCCGAAGATGCGTGGTAAAAAACTACCTAGGAAAGTGCAGTAGTATCTGGAAAACGCGGGGCAAGGGCGGGCGTCTGATCGCGGGAGCGCTAGTATCCCGTGGCTTCCGGTGCCCGTCCGAGTCCCGTCGCAAACCAGATGGTTTCCCTAAGCACATGCGCATAACACTAAACTGGAAGCAGTGCTGCTCCGCGGAACTGCGCATGCGCACAAACACGGAACGCTTGCCGCGCGGCTTCTTTGCCAGCTCCAGCATCGCCATGTGATCATGAGCTTCCTGGCACAGCGCAAAGACTCGGGAGACCGTGTGATCGAGCTAACGCGCTTTATTTTGCCCTGGGGCAAATAGCCACGCCTCACCCCGGCGTTATCTGGTTGTGTGACCGGGGCCTTAGTTGACTTTTTCTGCACCTTTTCCAATGCCTCTCTCAAGTGACTGAGTTTAGGCCATATATGTATTAAGGTCTCTGTTTGCTATTTAATAGTTAGGTATGGGTAAAGAACACATTTCCACCTTTTTTGTTTTATGCAATTGCGTTTGCTACTCCACTCTGTTACCTTTTGCAGCTTTTTCAAGCATTCGGAGATGTAGAGGGTGATGTAGATCAAGGTTCGGTCAGCCTCGTTCTAGACAGGAATGAAATACATAAATAGGAATAACAATTAATTATAATAATTGTCATATGGCATTGTGTGTAGTATAGCCGGGAGATCCTAAGATTCCCTGGCAGGCAGAAGTTCTAGCTCTTTTAGCGTTACGCACCACTAGGTGGCGAGCTAGACTTGTTTTTTTTAAAGGCAAGAGACGTTTCAGAGGTGGTTTGCCCTTGCCTGCCTCTGCGTCATGCCCCTGGTATTCCTTGGAGGTCGCCCATCCAAATACCAGCCAGGGCCGACCCTGCTTAGCTTCTGAGATCTGATGAGATCGGACTTGCCCAGGCTATCCAGGTGAGGGCAATAAATAGGAAGCAAAACAACACAGCTGTCCAGCTCATGGCAAGATTTTACCTCTCTTTCTCTGGACCTTCCACCCCAACCTACCAAGGAGAATCCCAGGTTAGGAATTCACGAAAGTTGAGAGACAGATAAAAGGGTGGGAATTAGGCACCAACCTGCCCTGATGGGGGAAGCAGTCGCTTTTAATTTGCAACGCGCCACCCATATTTCCATTGTACTTCTATCAGCGTTTTTGGCCCTATTTCTATATGACTAAGCTGCCGCAGCCGTCCTCCTGGAATCTACTATACACCGTACGAGCACAGCAAATGCCTCACCGCTGAATATCTTACCTTGATTTCATAATTTTTAAAGAAGACGTTCGCTTTGAAATAGTAGATGGCCTCATCGATGATGTCTGTGTCTTTGGCTGCCGGAAAGGGAGAGGGAAAATATTACTCGGAAGACTCAAGGAAGGAAGGGACCCCTGAGAGACATTACGGTATCTGCATACCAAGAGAGAACAGTCTGGTCACACGAATGTTTACGTAACATAAGAACATAAGAGACGCCAATGTTGGATCAGGCCAAAGGCCCATCCAGTCCAACACTCTGTGTCACACAGTGGCCAGAAATACCAGGGGCCATCGGGAGGTCCACCAGTGGGGCCAGGACACTAGAAGCCGGCTCCCACTGTTGACCGCCCCAAGCACCAAGAATACAGAGCATCACTTGCCGCAGCCTGAGAGTTCCTATCTATACCTCGTGGCTAATAGCCACTGATGGACCTCTGCTCCATATGCTTATCTACGGGAGGTTTACTCAGAAGTACTTGCCACCAAGGCTCCCTCTAAGCTGTGGAGTCTTGTGAGCAAAAATTCTACTTTGTGAGCTACTGGCATGAAAGGTGTGAGCGATTGATTTGGCTGCTGCATAAATTATTTGCTCCGGAGCCATCCTTCCTGGGCGAAAGCAAAAATGTGTGAGCCAGAGGCTAAAGAACTGTGAGCTAGCTCACACTGACTCAGCTTAGAGGGAACACTGCTTGCCACTGAATTCAGGGAGACCTGCATCCCAATAAACGCGTGCGGGACTGAAGCCTGATTAATGGCGCTAGGACGATTCATACGGAGCTACTTGATCATGAGTCGGACACATGACCACATGAAGCCACTTTATACTGGGCCAGACCCTTGGGTCTGTCAAAGTCAGTAATCGCCTACTCAGGCTGGCAGCGGCTCCCCAGGGTCTCAGGCAGAGGTCTTTCCCATCGCCTCCTGCCTGGTCAGGGATATCATGGACCTCCAACAAGACACATCAGAGGGTTCAATACAAGAACGCAAGTGGGCACTCCATGAAATTGCTGAGCAGTCGGGTTAGAAGGGATAAAAGGAAGTCCTTCTTCACCCAAAGAATGATTAATGCATGGAATTCAGTGCCACGGGAGGTGGCAGCGGCTACAAGCACGGATGGCTTCAAGAGGGAATTGGATAAACATATGGAGCAGAAGTGCATCAGTGGCTATGAGCCACAGGGTATAGATAGGAACTCTCAGTCTGGGGCAATGTTCCCTCTAAGGTGTGGAGTCTTGTGAGCAAGAATTCTACTTTGTGAGCTTCTGGCATTAAAGTTATGAGTGAGTGATTTGGCTGCCGCATAAATTAGTTTGCTCTGGAGCCATCCTTCCTGAGCTAAGACAAGAATGTGTAAGCCGGGGGCTAAAAAACTGTGAGCTAGCTCACACTAACTCAGCTTAGAGGGAACACTGGTCTGGGGCACGTGATGCTCTGTATTCTTGGTGCTTGGGAGGGGGGGCAACAGTGGGAGGGCTCCTGGAGTTCTGGCCCCGCCAGTAGACCTCCTGAGGGCACCTGGGTTTTGGCCACTGTGGGACACAGAGTGTTGGACTGGATGGGCCATTGGCCTGACCCAACACTGGCTTCTCTGATGTTCTAGATCAAATCAAGCGTGAACTCTCCCTAGAAGCTCAAATGACTAAACTCAGGCTACCGTACTTTGGTGACATTATGAGAAGACAAGAGTCGATGGGGAAGACAGTCATGCTAGAAAAAGTCGAAGGCAGCAGGAAGAGAGGAAGACCCAGCAGGAGATGGATGGACTCAATCAAGGAAGCCACAAAGGCCCTCAGTGTTCAAGCCCTGAGCACGGCTGTTAATTAATTGCTGTAGATCTCCCGGGGTGCGTGGCCGTGGTCTTGGCACTGTGGGACCTGACGTTTCGCCAGCGGCTGAGACTGGCATCCTCACAGGTATAACACAGAAAGATGGAGTACCCTCTGTGTCAAGGTGAGAATGCCTCTGAAGATGAAGAATACCTCTGTGTGATACCTCCGAAGATGCCAGTCACAGCTGCTGGCGAAACGTCAGGGACCACAGTGCCAAGACCATGGCCACGCAGCCCGGGAAACCTACAACGAATGGACTCCAGCCGTGAAAGCCTCCGACAACATATTCAGGCTGTTAATGATAGGACATTTTGGAGGTCATTAATTTATAGGGTCGCCATAAGTCGGAAGAGGCTTGACAGCACTACAGACACACACAGACAGACACACATATAGACACACACCCTGTTCCTCAACTGGATCAGGGGACTGAACCTGGGATTTTCTGCGTGCCTTGCAGAAGCTCTACCACTAAGCCACAGCCCCTCCCAAATCTGGATCGGTACTTTGACCGGCAGCGGCGCTCCGGATGTCTGCACAAAAAAGTTTTCCCCTGTCGCTCGCTACAAGAGGCTCTTTCGCCGGAGATGCCAGCGGCCGAACTTTGCGTGCCCAGGAGCCTAAGGGACCTCCGGCTGAGTCTCCCTCTCGCCCAGCCCCAGAAATCTTAAGGCTGCGAAGAACACATGCGAGAGTCTCCGCCGAGTCCTCTTTCGAGGGCGCAGGACACACTTACTTTCTCGGGGCGCGGGACCCTTGAACTGGCTTTTGATGGGCAGCAGGGCCATGTTGCCGATCAGCTTGTTGTCGGGATCCATCAGCGTCGAGTGATAGGCCTGCGCGGGAGGAGAGAAAGAGAGAGGGCCGTCAGCGACCAAAAGGCAACGGCATCGAGAGGCGCGGCGGCTGCATCCTGCAGTTCTCCTGTAAACACGCAGAGGGAGGGAGACGAAGCTTCCCCTTCCCCCACCCTCAGTGCTCTGTCGAACGAGTCAAGGACTGCGAGGCGAGAATAAAGGGTCGGCAACCGCAGCCCCCTGGGCCAAGCCCGGCCCTTGAGCTGCAGCGTCTTGGTATCGGCGCAAGGCTCCCGTCTCCCTTGCCAGGGAGGGACATTTCAGGCAACCCACAAGAAGGACCGGGGAAGGAAAGAGATGGAGGGCATGAGAGGGGAAAGGCACAGCAAGGGACGTAGGGGGGAGGGTTGCGTAGTGGATGTAACGTCACACCAGCTCCTGCTAGTTTGGTGTAGTGGTTAGGAGCGCGGACTCTGACCTGGGAGAACCGGGTTTGATTCCCCGTGCCTCCACATGCAGCTGCCGGTGCGACCTTGGGCCAGTCACAAGTTCTCTGAGCTGTTCTCTCACGAGCAGTCCTCAAGAGGACTCCAGAAGAGCAAACTGATTTATGCAGTAGCCAAATCGGCTCGCTCACAACTTTAATACCAGTAGGCTCACAAAGGAGAATCTTGGCTCACAAGACTCCACAACCTAGAGGGAGCATTGCTCACAGGGTGTCTGTTGTGGGGAGGGGGAGGGGATTGTAAGCCGCTCGTAGGCTCCTTCGGGTAGTGAAGGGCGGGGGTATAAATCCAATCTCTTCTCTTCTTCTAGACTTGGGTTCAAATCCCCCCCATGCCAGGAATCCCTCTGGGTGACCTTGGTCCAGACACACTCTCTCAACCCAACCTACTTGGGTTGTGTGAGGATGAGCTGGGGAAAGAAACTGTGCACACCCCACCGAGCTCCTCAGAGGAAAGGAGAGATAAAAATGTGTCGCTGGACCGTGGGGGCCGTGATGCAGCCCCGGGGTTGTGAGAGTTCCGTGCCGCCGCCGATCAGCTGACAAGGAGGCCCACAGCTCCAACACCTGCTTCTAGGCAGGATCAGGCCCGTCTCTACAGAGCAAGTCATACAAAACATCGCATTGAGGAGACAAAGGCAAGGGGTCCTTCACGGAGCTACGGGAGCATTTGGATCACTCAGGAAAGTGAGCCAAGCTATATGCCGACACCCACCCCCAGGATAATTAGCCAGTCTTGTAGCATAAGAAATGGGGAGCAATGAACTAACAATCCATACCCCTGTCAGGACTAGGGTGTCCTTTCAGTAACCCCCAACATAAATTTTTTAGATAAGAGATGTCGAAATGCCTAAGTAACTTTGGGGATTCACTGCCACAAGACGCAGGGGTGGCCACTAACATACATGGGGGCCTCATCCATTGGAATACAGGTTTATCAAGTGCCATTAGCCATGCTGGTTAAATGGAACCTCCACGTTCAGAGGCAGTACACCCCTGAACACCAGGCACAGGAGGTGACGTCCGCAGAAGGCGGCTGTCAATTTCAAGCTCCGGTTGGGTTTCCTCAAGGCACCCTGTTGCCCTTCCCGAGAAAAAAAGATGCCGGCCCAGAGAAACCTTTGCTCTCGTCTAGAAGGGCTTTCCGGACAGATATAAAGATCCCTCTTTCAAACACTGCTCTGAAAGAGCAACTGTGCAGGCCAAGGCAGGATATAAATCGAAATAAATAAATAACTGCAACATCCTCTTTTGCTATGCTATTGATTCGAATGAGCTTACGGATGATTGCACAGAAGGTTGACATGTAAAAACCCTCCCAGGTTTGGAAGGGGGAGAAAATGGACAGACCGTTCCCCCAGGGCTGGTAGCGACGCTGCTTATTTTTAACGATGGCCATATAAGGCAGTTCCCCTTTTCCCGGCAAGACTGTCTCTAAAGCGGTGAAAAACGGGCGTTATGTACAACACCCCAGAAAACAGAAGCCCTGTATAAACACACACACACAGAGAGAGAGACTGTACAGACGCAAGGCTCGGGGCTTTAAGTTTAAAGCGCTGGCGCTGGCCTGACCGGTATGGATCTCAGAAAGGAAGCAAAGGCAAATCAATCCATCAATGGCAGCCCCTTTCATCTCCTCCCTCCAGGCCCAGCATCTATAACAGCATTTCCTGCTTTTTCCTCTGACCAGCAA